TCTTTCGCCACTTCTAATTAGCACAGTTCGATTGAGTCTATCATATTTATCATGATTCTGATTGTTAGACTTGCAGACACTCAAATTCAGTGTCAATTCATGCATTTTTAGAATTTACAGAAACAGAAAACTGGCCGCCGCGACGGCGGAGCTTCCATGGGATTCTCGGTTATGTAGCCCCAAATGAACTATGAATACTTTGAGAAGAGTTCGGATCTTTAATTTATTGCTGCGAAAATACTGCACTTTTTACAGTATCATTTAAATAAATGCCGTGAGTCATCTCAAAAATACTAGAGGGTGTGGGTGTGGATATGGATATACCTGCGTGTGGATCTACATTCTCCCTCACATCCACATTCAACACCTATGCGTACATGCTTCTTAATCAGATGAAGTACGTGCAAAATGAATACTAGGAAAGCTTTTTTCTTTATAACGCAATATAGGGAGTGACGACTCTTATCTAAAGAACACAGCCTTATAAAGACTATGTAATACTGATAAAACTCAGATAACACTTTTGCTTCGTGATATAATGCACTAGAGGTGCTTCACGCACAAACATAAAGTGGGGAAAGGTTTATTGTAATTTTTAAAAAAGCAAAACAAAATGGACTCAACTGGAATGCTTGCTTTATTGTTTACTGGCATAGTAGTTTTGCTAGCTGCAGTTGATTTGGATCAAGCTCCTCAATGCCTTTTTAACTATTCGTATCGCTCGTACGTATTTGGCGAGGCTTTCGTCATCGCCAATGGTCAATGCCAACGAATTAAATTATCTAAATGCTATCTCAGTTTACATCTTAGATATGATGAGAACACAGGATTATACGATGTTATAAACATTCACAGAGGGCTTTTCTTATCGTTAGTTTACAGTATTGGCGATCACTGTAACAAGGGAGACGATTGTGCGAATGTGGATGGGAGTATCGTGTGGAGTTGTTGTGTGTGTCAGTGTGTGAGTGGATGTAGGTGGTAGTTATGGGTGTGGGTCTGAATCGTTGTGAGCAACACACACATTCGTGCCTACATCCTCAGAAAGGAAATTGTTATGTGGCTATATTTGTCTATGTGTTTCTGGTCAGACTTCTATGTTTAGAACAAAGGAAAAGATGCAGTTAATACAGCGAATGCATCACATACATCAAACTCCACCTTAAGAATAAAAGAAACAGCAATCCCTCACACTTACTTCGTTGTTCTGTTACTATTCGGAACAGAAAGTAAAAACACGTGAGTGACGATTGTGGTCCGAAGTGAATAGAAATTTTTGATAGTCACACAGTTCAAGGCGCAATTTATCACTCATGCATCTTTGCCGCTCATTCTTCACAACAACAAAACAACGACGTGAGTAGTTGATGTCTCTCCTTTCTTCATATTTATAGATACGTTAAAAGCATAATGGACTTCATTATATTTCAGTAAAGAGAAAAACAAGCATCGACCAAAATGAATTCTACCACCGGCAAATGTTTGTGCGGTCAGATCACTGTTTCTATTACCCAAGAAGCACTAAATGCAACTGAAAAGATTGCTTTATGCCGTTGCAAGAATTGTTGCCAATCTGGTGGCTGTCTTGGATCAATCAATGTTATTGCTCCAATATCGGCTGTTAAAATTAGCGATGAACCAAAGATTTATCACGATAGTAATACTGATAGTGGAAAGACGATACAGCGTGCGTTTTGTAGCAATTGTGGTAGCCCAATTTATACAGTTTCACCTAATATGCCTGGTGTCCAAGTCTTTAAATTAGGGTTATTTGATGAAATTCCTAAACCATCAATGGAACTGTACTGTAAATCAAAGCCTTTTTGGGATAAATCAATTGATGGTACAAAGCAATTTGATACAATGCCAACGAAATAATTGGGATATCCAAACTTCATCATTGACTTATCTGAATCATTTTTTTGTAACTTTAGAATCTTAAACAAAAATATGAAGACTGGATTCATTATTTTAAACATATGTATAGAGAAATAATTTTAATTATGTAACACATACATTCTAGAAACAATCCAATAGAACATCTGTTGTTCTATACATTCTCAGATTCAACTCTATTTCTAACGTTGAATGAATATGGTTTCAATATATTTAGTTCAATGTTTTATCTTCGTTTCACTAATCAAACAACGCACTTCTTCTGAAATCTGTAAAGACTCACAGAAAAAACTCTACGAAAATATGGATGTAAAATACAACTCGTGTATGTCTTGTTTTTCACTAAAACGATGTTGATGGTTGGATGATGGTGAAGAGAGAAGTATCGTCTTCTTAGGGCAGGTGGGTGTAGGAATCACTCTAGGATATGAATGTGGGTACAGATGACAATAGCAACACCCATCCATACCCACACCCTCACTGATTCTTACCGATAACCGGCGGCACTGATAATCGATAAACCGATAGGTTGACACCAACTACCGATTTTTACCAACAGTCAGTATATTAATAACCAGTTAGTATTGATAACCGGTAAATGTTTGTCAAACTGAAATTCAGCACATATCGATTATTAGATTACTAACTACAAGTATATCGAATGGAGTGTTTTTCGCTAGAAATGTACATCGAAGATAATATGACCTAACTTTATTGTCACACATCAAAAACATTAGCTTTTATCGAAATTCTATTATTGTAATATTAGTTAAAGAATGATCAAATATTACAGAAAAACAGAGCATTGTTTTTGCTCTCACTACATATCAAGAGAAAGTTTGTGCAAGTTTTCTATACGAAAAACAAGTATCTCTGCCCCTACTTTCGGATTTCTTTCAGTGCTATAATATTTTGTTGAATTAGTCAGATCGATAAATGTATCATTGAATTTCACTTTTCAAAATCTATTTGACAAAAATAGGACGTGAGATTTGTCGAAATATTCCATTCCATCCCACGGGAAGTCTCGGTGTATGTGCTTCTCTCAGTACTAAATATGGAAACGAGAGAATAAAAACTGTAATATCAGAACAATGACTAATTCAAAATTATAGAATAAATAGTAAATAAGTATATGTATACGTGATATGACAGAGAGAGAAAAGAAATATCTTCTTTTAGAATACTCGAAGAAGAAGAAGAAGAAAGCGTAAAAAGACAACCAATCTGTATATTATCGTTCTGAAAAGAAAAGAAAAGGTTTTACAAAGGAAAAAAACCTAAACATCTTGGCGGTATTTTCATCAAATGGCTTGATATTTTACCACTAATAACAGAGTGTTGATAGGTCATATTCATAAGAAAAATATTGACAACGACTGCTTTGAATTATCATTGTTGACTTCAATAAAGAACTGTAACCTTTCACAAATTATGGAAAAATTATACTGTAGTTTACAGCTGAAAATTTCAGGATACAATAAGTAACAAGATGTATATCTATGGTTTAAATTTTACAACATATGACACTTCTATGAAGAACTAATAGAAAAAAACCTACATATAGTTTACTTTTGGCTAAAAAAACCATTATATTGGTTTTTCATAAGCCATGAAAGGTTACAATTCTTTATTGAGGCTAATGATCATGCTTCAAAGCAATGTTTTTCTTATGAACATAACCTATCAACATTCTTTTGTCAAAGTATGACAGACATATTCAATTTCATTGATAAAGTGACTTTTGAACCACTGTGTATATTTCTTTGAAACTTGCATGTTTTTTTTTTAGTAAGTGTAGGATAAAGGTGGAGGTGAATGTGTGTGTACACTTTAAGAAATGGCCGTATGATTGAAGATTCTTAACGGATCTACGAATTTCCAGAAACTTTAACGAGAGAAGTTATAATAATTTAGAGTTAGATTTGTATTTTATATTAAAATTTGACTAATTGTTTTCAATTGTTTGATTCAACCTTTCGTATTATCTAAAATATATTGCGAATTGATTTACGATCATTTATTGAAATTGCTTCTGTAGATATTTGTGTTGATCCCATATAATACTGGACGTATGCTTTCTTCCACATCTCAATAAGACTTTATCTCGAGATGTCTTTAACCCTAACTGTACCATATAAGATATACAAGTGAATAAAAAAAAATCAGCAGATATCATCAAAGTATCAACTGTGAGATTTTTCTACAATGACAAGATTCATAATGAACTTTCCGGAGATAATAGACGATATTTCTGGCAAGTGATCTGAGAGAACTGCGATAACTGATAGATGGATTATTAGTTAAACTGTTTCATAATATGATGCTGCTGAAGCTGGAAACAAAAAACTGCCTTTGTTGCTATTTGAGTAATCACATCGCTGACTTAATATCTTCGGTATAGTAGAATGTAATGTTTTAAAGCGCTTCTATTGACTGAATTCTATCAATATTTCATTGACGAATGTAGACTGAATGATGAAAAGAAAAGAGAAATTCTTGGAAAAAAAAATAGAACATTTTTCAGAAGAAGGTTTCAGATCTATTTGCATTAAATTCTCCATTTTTATGTCTATGACCATTACTCTGTCATACTTATATCTAGTGTCACATGTGCCTAATCGTCATTCATATATTTTTACAATGGACATCTATTAATTCGATATGTCTCAAGTTTATTATTTCTTTTCAACGTGTATTGATCATATCTTTTGAAATGTTCAAACAAAATTCTCAAATTTTTAATCGATGTGATTATTGAAACTGAAGAAAATGAAGAGTTTTATATTTTATTAGTGACTGGATGAAAAAAAAGATTTTATAAGATAAATGAAAATTTCATTTTTAATTTTTTCATGAAGGTTTTAACTATGTCACTGAAATTTCCGTTGCACAATCTTATTGTGTACAATACACTTTTGCATAACCTATTAGTTTTATAAACACTATTAGCAATGAGTGAAAAAGTACTGCAGTTTTGAAAAAAAAATTCAATTATGAATTGATCAAGGACTAACACGTTTACAAAACCAATAAAACTCAAAACTTATATTTCGTTGTGAGAATCTGAAAGATTTTCATAAAAATGATTCTTCTAGTGTACCAAGGTGAAAGTGCTTAAATCAGTGCCACTCGAAAAACTTGTAACAAAGAATACATGAGTGTGAGATGTAGATTTTCTCTTCACCCATACTACATTCACATCAAATTTTACTGAACAAAGTAAATCAAATGAATTCGTTTTCGGTAAACATAAATCGAATTTGTTTAATATTTAGCTAAACTTAGTAACAATAAACTCATCAAACAAAATAGCGTTTTTCTTTTTTATTTAAGAAAATTTATATTTAGCTAAATAAAATATTTAATTTAACTGACAGTCATTTTATCTCAAGCGTAAATGATATGGAATTAAAAAACAAATAGTTTTTTAATATTTAAATACAGGAGAAATTATATGAAAATGCGAAAAAAAAGAATTACTTCTTAGGTAGAATATGTTTTTCAAGATTCATCTATTGTTGTTGTTAGCAATTAATATAAAATTCGAGGAATACTAAGCGATTGTATTAAGTCTTAAGCAGTTTTAATATCCAGTCTCATGTTACTTTGTCAAAGTCTGATATTTATGATTAATGATTTTTTTTTTATAAACACTTGCTTTTTCCATCGAAAAAAATCAAGATTCTGTTTTAAAATTTTACATTACAGACTAAGTCAAGTATGTATCAAATATAACACGAATCATCGACTTTCATATTATTTTTCAGATTGTAAAATTTCAAACTATCCAAAATGATTGCATTCTCGAATTATTTATGAAATACTTCCGTAATGCTATATTGCCAAAGAGATGAAAACAATACCATCTTTGATCTTTTGTGTGTAACATATCTAAAATTCATGACCGAAACTATATCTTTATAGTTTTTCTTCCTGATTTGATACCTTTCTCATAAAAATGACATTCAAAAAATAATAGAAATAACCTTTTTTTTGTAGAGAAAAAAAATTTTTGAATATGATTCGAAATTTTGAAGAATTATGATCCTTGCTACTTTTTTATAAGTAAACTAGAATGAAATGATATTTGAATTTTTCCATAACAATTTCTTTTTTGTAGACCTTCTCTTAGATTGAAAAAAAAAACTTTGTAAATTAATTTATTATGATCATGGATGGTACATTGAACATCTAGATCAAGAAACGTATGAAGATGAAAGAATTAAAAGGTTTGCATTTTGTTTCAAAAAAAATTAAATAACTTGTATATGAAAGATGATCTATAGATATAAGTCTCTTTTTAAATCTTCACATTGCTATTCGATATTATCTAATGTAATTATCAATATTTCTTTATTTGCATATGTATTTACACTCATTGACACAATTCATAGTCCACAATAGATTACTATTTCATTAATATCAATACTTTATATCTACAAGATCGGTTGTTTATTTGTGTATTACAATGAAATCTTCTTCTAAATGAAATTCTTTCAAGAGATACAAGAAGAAAGTATACAGATGAGAATCTTATAATGAACAAAATCAACAAGATCATTTCGATATATTGTCAAATGAGTAATCTGAGATATCAATGATTATTAGTAACATACTCATAATCATTCATTACTTGATATTGAAGATCAATAACTTTTTTTCTTCGTACTATGAAAAGAAGAAATTATTTTTCAAATTTAGTAATAAATCCATGACTCTCATTGCTTTGTGATCAACAGGAAATAAAAACTTTTTCTTTATATATCTATATCTAAATTTAACTTATAGTATATGATCTCTAGTTTTGAATATCAAAAGACAAATCGATATTCGAAAATTAATTCATTCAAAAAAACCTGAACAATCATTTCTGCATTAAATTTGAAATCAACAATCATCAAAATTCATTTTGCCTACGTTTATCCAACGATAGTGCCTTAAGATATAATCAGATCATTTCTTGTTTTCGATTTTGTTCTTAACTTTCGAAACTAATATTTATCTAACCAAGCGAAAAAATAAATGCGTCTACATTTTTTTATTTGACAATATAAGCTTGGTTAAATAGAAAAAAAAAGAAATGTAACAGATACATTGAGATATGCTATAGTACATCAAGTTCAGATTATTCAATAGTTTAAATACCGACCGATCGAGCACGACCACAAAGTAAATAAACAATTAAACCTATATTAAATAAAGAATAGTTTTTTTCTTTAAAAAAAATTCATATTTTACAAAATATTCTTACCAATAATAGGACAAAAGATAATAAATAATATCCAAAGAAGTTTTTCTACCATTGGTTTGCCTGAACGAAGAATTTCAATAGCAGCAATTATATCCAAAATAAGGATAATCTTTAAGACAAAAACAAAAAAAAGATAAATATTTTATTTTAGTAAAAATATTGATTTAAAACTAACCAAACCAAGAATACCACCAATGGTTGGTCCAATATAATAAGCATCAGCAGATACACATTTTACACAACCCAAAAGAAGTACCAAAACAGTTGTAAAATTAATTAATAAACCCATGTTCGAAATAATGAGCGGGAAAAAAATTGTAATATTATATATATCTAAAAGTAATGTTAGCTTTATCAAGAAAAGCACCGAATAAACCTTATTGTGTTCGTCATTGGGCTTACTATGCTATGCAAACGTGCCTTTATTCTGTTCTGCGCGGAGTAATCGAGTAAAGCGAATATACGGAGTCGTTTTACATCTCCCTTCTATATTTTCTTCCTTCTTTCCATCGTCTTGGGATGTTATACAAAATGAACGAACGTTTCGTACATTTTTTTTTCTTTCTAGTTCTTCTTCTTCTTTTTTTTCTCTCCCGTCTAAGAATAAATAATTGACTCATTCGTAACCTTATCAGTTTCATTGTGACGACAAAAAAAAAACACACATGTATGTATGGGTAGTAATACATGTACACGATAGCTACGTCAATCTATTTTGGTATATATAGCTAATATGTATCTAACTGATGTATATATATGTGTATATTTCGATAGTAATCTGACAACGTACGATACGCTTATCACTCGTGATCAATTCTAATTTTAGCAATAACAATCTATTGTTTAAAAGAAATTTCGTATATATAAAAACATGTTTTTCTTTTTCTCGATAGACAATGAATATATGAAGAAATCCATAGAAAATAGTCACATGACATTAATCCTTTTCTTTTGATTTTTCAAAGCATTAATAAGAGAATAACGATTAAAAATAACAGTTTCTTCTGTACAAAAGAAAAAAAAGATCGCTATTTATTTTGCTTGTGATACGTTATTCATTGATATAAACAAAATGATTCACTTTAAGGTATCGTTTTATAACATGAATTTTGTTTCGCATATTTATGACTAATAGTTACTTATTTAGACATGATTGTTTATTTGAGTATATCATATTTTCTATAGAATGATATTAATGTTTTTGTTTATTATTGCCATCTGTTGTGGAATAAAAGAAATTTTGCCATTATCTAAAAAAAACTCAATATAAATCTATGATTTTTCTAAATAGAAAGACGCAATTATAACATGTTTTATTTACTGATGGACTAGAAAATTCACCGGAGATTCTATATAACTATGAATACCGTAGATTTTTTTATCATGTATCATTGAGTCCAAAGATGAAGGTTAGCAAAAGTAATATTATCGTAGCTGAATATAAAGGGTATCACATAATAACTGAGGATAAATTATTAATGATGTTTTTCATACTTTTTCTTGACATAGAGAACTAAAATTTTTATCACATATATATCTAATCAAGGTCCTTTATTTCTGAATGTTTCAATTAATTAGAGAACTGAAATGTTCAGAAATAAAGAATCTTGATTAGATATATATGTGATAAAAATTACCGTTCTCTATGTCAAGAAAAAAGTATGAAAAATATCATTAACAATTTATCCTCAGTTATTATGGAACACTCCTTATGATGAGATTTCTGATCTATGAAAAACATTATTCATTAACTCTACTAACTCTTTGGTAACTGACGATGTGTATATGCATCATGAACTTTCCCATCACATGAAACTAATGTAATCACTTATAATGCATATGTTTTCAATAGATTTACGTAACGATAAATGTCAAACAGCAGGAACATTCGACATCATTATTTTTTTATGATCCGTGTTAAAGTTCTGCGATAAAAACGAAAATGTGAGTGGTATAAAGCCATTCTATTTTGTCTATGTGCATCTTTGATCCGTAACTAAAGAGCTAATAAATATCAAAAGTCAAGAGTCTAAAAGAGATGATCATCGAATAAAGTCTCTCTCACATTCAGAAAATATGAACACTATATTTGACAGTCAACCACGAAAGTAAAAAAATATCAATCTTGCAACACACTACTACAACATTTAATTGAAAATCCACATATTGTCTCCGTAAATATTCTTTCTACTTCAATTTATCTAAAGTTGTTTAGTGTTAGTTTTCTTTACTGGTTTTTTTTTTATAAGGATCTATCCTAGAACGAAAGTGTCATCAAATTTGTGTCAAATGAAAGATTTCGCTAAAGAACTAACAAATTAAAAAAACCGAGCTGATTAATGACGTGTACAGACTGAAATATTTGACATTTAAGATTTTTACAGCGCATGTTATATGCTAACAATTGAAAATTTCTATAGCAAATGAAATTTTACGAAGGTTAGAATTTTAGATAGATGTCTTCCTATATTGGAAAATAATGGCATCGTCGTAACGTACACTGTGAATGTTCTAATATTCGAATATCTCGAACTGTACAAGTCATAAGCAGTTCATATATTTAAAATATGTTAATTTGACTTGAGTACATTCAATATTCTTGAATTACAATACATATCCTTCTTATGATTAGTCTCATTTTTTGTTTTCTATAAAACATAACATATCACCGGCTTATCATTTTAATCATTAAAGTAATTAAAACAATGAGAAAAAGAAAAAAATATGGATGCATCAACTCAATAAAACTACGTATCAGAGTATTCCTCATTGAAGTATTAATTTCCGTACTCAGAGTTTACTTAAAAAAAAAAACCTTCATTCCACTTCGATACTTCTCTGAGAAGATTTACAGTAAATAAATATCTTTCTCAACATTTCATAATCAGTAGTAAACAACAGATTTATATCACATGAATAAATCACGATTACAAAACAAATTTTTATATTGTATCAACATAGTTCATCATTTCTAAAGTAGGTCAATAGAAATAAACACGAAATAGTTTTTATTGTATATCAGAAAAAATATCTCGTTTTTGTCACGAGCAGTCACAACGACAGAATAATTGATTAGAAAACTAACGATTGAAAAATGTCCTTAGTGACTTATCAAGAATAAGTCTCTTACAAGATTCATAAAATAGACCTATTACCAGACTAGGTAAGTTCCATAAATATAAAAAACAAAAGAAAAAAAAGAACGGACTACATCTGTCTATTATCACATTCTTCTTCTTTTTTCTAAACTTTCAGAGTAATTTTATGTCGGAATTTTTTTAATATATATTCAGACATAAAACATCGTTATCATGAGATGATAAATTCCTATTTTCAGAAAATTCGAATAAAATGACTATGAAAAAATTGAATTCTTATGTATTGAAATACGAGAACAGGAGATTGATTTTAATAAAAACAAAATATAGAAATATGATGTGTATGACTTTGAGTTAGATCGAATTGGATGAGAAAATTCATTTTCATCTTATTTATTTGTTTGATAAAAATTAATTATCTGACCTAACTTCAAAAATATAGATATTATTTCTATATATTTTTTTTTAATATTAAAATGAATTTCCAGATCAATCTAGGGATTGTATTCTTTCAATTAAATGTGTGAAAATGAATTCTAGCTACATATTATCAATAATTAATTTAGACATTTGCAGCCGTAGTACCTCGTTTGTATTGTCTATTGTATAAGGATGTAAAGAAATTTGAATTTCTTAGATATTGAAATTTATCATGACCTCATTGTTATCTACATCGCCTACTCAGTTAATTATTTTTGTTTCTTTTCATATTCAATACTTTGTTTATTATCATATTTGAATGATAATGAGTAATGTATTTTGATTTCATATTCTTTTTTTTTTTTTAAATTAATTATTTTCATTTGATATCTTGTACATTTAGATTATTATTAATGAAGATACCTTAAGAATCTTCTTATATATATATATATATATATATCTATTCTTCTAGTCTAGTAATAAAAAGAAAATGAAGTAAAATCTATTATTCTTAATAAAAGACTAGTTAGTCTAAAACAAATTTATAGAACTTTCACATATAATCGTCGAAGATATCTTTTTATGTTTTCTTTCTATGCATATTTTTCACAATTGATTATGATTCTTATTAGCATATCAACATATTTTTATTGTTCACATATGAAGAGTGATCGAAAAATGTTGATTCATCTAAGAAAAATTGCCTTTTCTTCCTTATTATAAATTCAAAAATGCTCAATATTTGGTATGTAAATTTGTATAATTAGATGAGTATATAATTCTAAATTTTGATATATATTCAATTCTACTATAATAAATAAGGAATATTCTAGAGAAGATTTTTCTTTTATCTCCTTAAAAAAACGATTAACAAAGGACATAAAAGAAAACATATAAACAAAAAAACATAGATCTAAAAAGCCAGACATCAAAATTGAGAAATATAAGAAGATTTATATTGATTAAAATTATATCAATAGAATAATCCTATGTCTCTACAATATTAATACAACTATTTTTAGTTTTAATTCGCTGTACAACTAACTTATGAAAATTGTTTTAATATTTATTTTCGATAGTATTTTTTTGTTTTTTATAATCAACATTTTTCCATATTGAAAATTTTCTTTTGATATTTAATTATTTCTATTGATTTTGTTTTTTAATCGAACGTTTATTTCTCTTCTATCCTACAGTATTTAATCAGTGTTTCTTCTTCAAAATATATAAAAGTCATAGAGAACAGAATTATAACAGTACGTGATCGGCATATGTGTTCAACATAGATCAATATGATGCTCAAGAAGATTTCAATATCTTATTAATAAAACAAATATATCTTTATCAACAAAAAAAAAAATAGTTTGTAAAGACATCCGGATATAAAATATTGCACTATTTCTGACTATATTTAAAATGAAAATTAAACTTTGAAATTTGCTTTTTTTTTTTTGAATTTATAATAAGAGAGAGAAAAAAAAGTAGTTTTTCCTGAATGATTTAAAAGTTTTGGATCATCTCATATATAAGATTTATCTTGAGAAATAATGTGATGATAAAAACCAAATAAATATTGATAAAATAAATTATTCATTTGTTGTTTCATGGGATATAGTTTTTTTTTCTCTTTAGTTGTTGAAAATCTGTAACGAAGTGTCGAGAATAGTTATTTTGTGTTTTTTTTTATCACTAATGTTTTTAACAGGAAAAACCTGTGACGTCAATATAAAATATTAATCTCTGCTTTTTTTCTTTGTAGTAGAAAATCTTA